GGGAATATCACCACCATAACCAGAAAAAACCATTATGAAAAATAAGAGCAATTGAGAGCGCTTTGAGAGAGATTAAGAGAGATCAAGAGAGATTTAAGCGAAATTAAAAGAGATTTTAGAGAGATTAAGAGAGATCAGGAGAGATTTAAGCGAAATTAAAAGAAATTTTAGAGAGATTTGAGAGAGATTGAGAGAAATTAAGAGAGGATGAGAGGTTTGGGTGAGAAATTCGGTTTGTTGTTTCCCTAAAAAATTCGGTTCCAACGGTAAAAAAAATTTGGGTTGTCAGGTCGGGTTCGGGCAACGGTAATTAAAATAGCAGTTGGGGTTCAAAAATCATGTGGCGGTCGGGTCAGGCAAAAAAGAGCCGTTGGGTTCAAAATTCGAGTTAACGGCCACAAAAATTTGGGTAAAAGTCAGGTTACACAGAAAAATTCAAAAAAAAAACCGACAGACGACGATCTCGACTTCTCCACTGGCGGCGGGTTGCCGGGAATAGTTTTTCATCGGGCTGCCCGAGCCCGAGCCAGGAAAAATGGTCGGACAGGCGGCAATTAGTGCATGCCCGCCGAGCTCAAAAATTTTTAGGCTTCAGGCAGGCCCGCCGCCTGAAGTTCCACCACTAGATCGGCACGGTCTGTCACTGTTTAAAGCACGGTCTAGTCCATAAATATTGATGGGTTGGCATGGGCCGGCCCGACACGGCCCATAAAAAATCATGGATCAGGCTGGACTGGGCCAACCCGTCTAGGCCCATAATGGCCCAGCCCAGCCCAGCTCATCTGGGCCCATAATATTTTTATGTTTTTTTTTTTTTTTTAGTAATTTTGTAAACATCTTATGTATAATTATCTTTATTGTACTCTTTTTTCTTACCAAGGTTTTGTCCCACTGGATTTTCTTTAGAAAGATTTTTATTTAATGAGGTAATCGTAAATAAAATATCATTTTTCATATTTCCATTGACTATTCAAACTTATATATTTGTTAACTTGTTTAAAAATTCAAGAATAAAAAATAAAAATAAAAAAATTGAAAATTGCATGCGTAGATGGGCTGGCCCATCTAAATCCATGATGGGCCAATATGGGCCTTGAGTAGGCCAACTCATTCAAGGCCCATGGCACGGCTCATCCTGGTCCGCGGCATAACCCAGCCTAGCCCACGTAAAATTAGCCTGTAGTGCAAGTTGGGCCGAGGTCATTCTTATATGGGTCGGACCGGCCCGGCCCATAAAATTCGTGGACTGGCCCGGCCCGCGTGAACCTAAGAAAAACGGGCCGGGCCGGACTGGGCCGGCCCGTTCTTGCATCTCTAGTTTCCACATATTTTTTTGTACGTTTCAAGCAAAGCAATAACTCAGAATTTGACTTCAAAATGGTCTTTTTTACTGGGCAACTTCGAAATGGAGTTATGCTCGTAAATTTTAGATTTTAATAAGTTGGACACCGCTCAAGAATAGTATTTTTTTCATTTGCTCCCATAATTTTTAAAATTTTGGCGGCTTGGCTTTGAAGTTTTGATTTTGACAATTCATCCCTCTAACTTGCTATTTTTTTTTTTTTGTGGCAATGTGTCAGGTTTATCTTTTTAATTTTCCAACTCTCAATCCCTTTAATCTAGCGAAATATAATAGCAAACTTTGTAATGTAGAGTACATTACAATAATTTTACAAGTTAAAAAGATAAATTGTCAAAATTAAAAATTTAAAGAGCAAGCTATTAAAACTTTAAAACTTCAAGGGGTAGAAGTGCCCAAAACTCCTTCAACAGTTATAAATAAAGTCTTATAACAAGCTCTTTGAACTCTATATTATCATCTATCATCTATATTTATTTGTGTTTAAAAATGAGAATTAGTAGCATTAGAGGCATAATTTTAACCTCATAATGGTTAATGAAAATCGATTCTCAAATGATAGGTGAGAGAATTTTGATAGGTTATCCTTCACCATCATGCCACCACCATCAATGGTTATTATCTATCATCAATACATATAACATTGATTCAATTTTTTTTTCTTTTGAAAGGGAAAACTTGTATTAAACGGAAACGGATAAATAAACGGCACAATACAAGGTTAATGACTCAAAAGAGAAACAAACGTACACCTGAGGCCTAAGAACGAGAAATTACATCGGCACACTAAGAGGACTCTATTTGAAAAAACCTTTCCCATCAAAATAAGTTTCCAAGTGTTGGAGAGACAAAATACCAACCCCCACTCAAAGGGGACATTAGCATCACGACACGAACGATATTCTAACTTGACCAAACAATCCACACCGTCAGAGAAACACTCAACCGGGTGGGAGACATAACCAACACCAGACGGTGGGGGAAATCACCTCTGTTATTACAAAAAACAAAACAAAACAAAAGGTGGCGAGAACAACATCGCCACACCTTTATTACATTCTAAAACACAAAACAAAGCAAAATGAAAACCCGAAGCATCATAACAAAAGCCTCCAACAATGACGGAGTCGGCGAGAGGACCACAAGGGAAGGAAGAATACTTCGAGAGTTAAGCGGCAAAGCCGTCGGAAAGATACCATCAAATGGCAACGAATGATTCACCTTCGCCACCGTCGCCAACCTCCGGAGACGACACCACCCCTTCCAAAGGAAGCCCCACTGCCAGGATCGAACCTTCAAAAGGACCCAGCCACCCAACGTTGACGGTGCCAGAAAATGCCTCTCAAATGTTCTGTTTTCATTTTCCAAACGAAGCCTGATCTGCCATATTCAATCCACCCCACGACACACTGCTACCACCATTGAAAAGCCCTCGACAAGATGAGCTCGGGGACCCATTTTCATGGCCGGGAGCCTAGTGACGCGCCCGGAGGTGGTGCCGAAACTCCAGCCAACACTCAAGCTTCTTTTTTCTCTCTCTCTCGTTTCTCCCTGTCAAAACAGCTAGGGTTTCATGAAAAATCCAACATTGATTCAATTTTGAGTCCCTAAATTAAAGAATATGTTCTATTTTAGTCTCTGACTTTTAAAACTTTTCATAACGAATTGTTAATTTATGAAATTGTCCCAAACTAATCCTTGCATCTGTATAACCATTAAAATCTAGATGAAAAAAGACATGAGATCTATGGTTCATTAGAGGTTAATTTTGTAATTTGAAATGTTAGAGTATAACTATTAAGAAGAGAATTGAATCATTTTTCATTGAGATTTTAATAGCTGCATAAAAAAATAATGAAAAAAAACCTAATCTGGTATAACTTTAGTTCGGAGACTCATTCGAAAACGTTTTAAAAGTTAAGGTTCTTTTGGTTCACGCATTTAAGTTAATGATTTTGATTTATTGGCAGAAATTTTGTGAGATAATAAATTTTTGAGTTCAAATTCTTTTTAAAATAAAAAATATTATAGTAGAATTCAGATCGTGCGTTCAAATATAAGAACCAAACAGAGTCTTTTAATCATTTCATTTACAGTTGAACGTGACTTTGACTAATGTTGACTATATCAATAGAGTCTAACTTTGTCATACTTAGGGCTGTTCATAAACCCGAACAACCCACAAACTCAACCCACCCCGCCCCAACCCAAGCCGAAAAAAGCAACCCGC